GGCCCGCTATATTATTTGATTATGTTTTTCAGCAAATTTAGCAACAACGGCCGGGCCGCAGGCCCGAGCGTCGCCGCCGGCAGGCCAAGCAGGCCCGTCCCCTGCCGAACGGAGTTGCCGGCGCAGCGAAGCGGAGCTGGCAACTCCGTTTGGCGGAAGGGCGGGCCTGCTTGTTTAAAAGCAGAAGGGCGGGCTAAAAAGGGCCGTAGGGGCGGTGTGACGTACAATTTAGTTGCATGTGTTGCTAAGTAATACTGCCGGTACATATTTTGTTTACACCTGAATTCTTTTTATGTCTTGTTTGCAGTTGAAGACGAAATTAGTGGCAAAGTACTACGGCATCGAAAAATGTAAGGACAAAGAGAGCCTGTTTCACTTTGCAAACGTTTCCTATGTACTGCATGACGACGGGGGGACCCTCGTTAATGCCATTTTGGATTTCTTGGTACCCATCTCAAGTTTTAAAACGGTAACGTTTTCTTTTAACTGTTAGTAGAGCCAAATAAAACAAGCTTGCACGTCCTTCTGCCTAACGGAGCTGCCAGTTTGACTCTGCTTCGCTTGTGATACCGTTCGGCAGGAGGCAGGGACCGGACCTACTTGCCCTGTCAGCGGCGTTAGGTTAGCCCGATCTATAATCCAAAGGCCATTTCACATATTTGGATAAACTTAGGCTTCCGGGAGGTCCTCCGGTCCTATGAGATTTGTACCTCTTCTACATAAACAAGCAGGCCCGCCCTTCTGCCAAACGGAGTTGCCAGCTCCGCTTCGCTGCGCCGGCAACTCCGTTCAGCAGGGGCCGGGTCTGCTTGGCCTGCCGGCGCGCGATTTAATGAAGAACTTCATCAAATAATGTAGTGGGCCTGCGGCCCGCTCAAACCAGTCGCACTGTATCAGGTACGTACACACACACTCACCGGCTCAGCTTCGGACAATTTGGCGATGCCTCGGTTAGTACCCTCGTTTTAATTTTCTTTACGGATACTACGCTCCGCTAGCAACTCCGTTCGGTGGGGGGCCGGGCCTAGCTTGGGCTGCCGGCGGCGTTTGGTCACTGTAAGTCACTTTGCATATTTGAGTAAACTAAGGCTTCCGGTGAAAGGGCCTGCGGTCCTAGGGATACCTTGGACATAAGAAAAGAATGTAACGGGGCAACACCGTGACTACACCCCACTCTTCTGCTTAACGGAAGAACAAAAGAAATAACAAAGGGCAGTTTTTAAATTATCGTTTGTTAGACAGCCTTAAAGCTTGACTTTTTGCGATTGTTTTAAATATATCCACCTCTATCTCCGAAACAGTTAAAGATACGGCGAATCCGAGGGCAGTCCCCGACTCAGAATGACCATTTTTTAATTTTTTTTTTTTTTGGGGGGGGGGGGGGTACTTTCGATGATGCTTTACGATTGAACGCCTCCCTGTTCGTCTTATGTGCAACATGGTCATTTTCACCGCATTTTCGTCGAAAACAACACTCCAGCACCCAAACGGTGCAAGATAGAGTCGAACGGACAAAATTTTCGGTCGAAGGAATATACTTTCACGAGGTACAGCACCCCTTCGGAAACCATTATAACAATGTTTTTTTTACTATACTTTTTGGACCAGCCCGTGTTTCTTTGTTGCCCCCTTTCACCATGGAGTAGAAGGGGATGGAGAGGCAACGACGGGCAGGCCAGGGCCTGCACGGCCAAATGTGCGGCTCATTTTCTCCTAAACGATTCCACCTATTTAAAATCCGAAAGCAGCATCTGATAGAGGAAGGTCGATTGTATGGCCGCGTAAAGTTTCAGCTCGATCCGTCACCTCCTTCTGCCTCAACGCCGCGCTGTCCGCCGCGCCACGGTCATTCGGCAGGGCTCGGGGCGGGTTCGGGACGCCTGCGCTAAGTCGCAGAAAACGTTCCGCTGACAATTTCCTCAAAACAGCAAAGTGGGTGTTTCTTATGATTGATATCGGCACAGAATGGCATAAGATGATTTTTAGGAATATTTTGGTACCTTACCGACCGTTGAAATACGATTTCACAACAATAACAAACGTGGTGCCTTTGGAGGTTATGTTGACTATGGTCGGAGCCTAGGCTAGCGGCAGCTGCATCAAGAATTAGTTGTTTTCGAAGTATTTGGAAAGGTAAGGTCAAAATGTTGAATTGGGGCACTCGAAAAGTAAACGTAGGAGTATTTTCCGCTAATGTTTGGTTTTAGTTATACTCAAATGCACAGAATAACACCAATGTATACGGGTGTAGTTAAACCCTTTGACGACGAATATTGGCGGAAAATACTCCCGAGTTTACTTTTCGAGTGCCCCAATTCAATATTTTGACCTTACCTTTCCAAATCCTTCGAAAACAACTAATTCGTGAAGCACCTGCCGCTAGCCTAGGCTCCGACCCCCGTTTAGAAATGAGAAGTTCCGGAATATGTCCCTCATCGGACTCCGTCCGAAATCCGTCTTTCGGACAAGCCCGAAAAGACGTAAAATAAGCCACTTTTCGGAACATGTCCGATGCTCTGTTCTGGTGCGACATCGGACTCGTTTCGGACCCGCACTAAAGGGAGGCCCGAGAAAAAGCAGAGAAGACGAGTATTCGAATCCCTGCTCTTCGGACTTGTCCTTTCCTTACCGACGCTCTAACCAACTGAGCCACGCTGACTTCTTGGAGACAATGCCATCGGGCCGCCTCTTCAACTACTCGCTCTGTAGACAAAGCGTCGTGCTCTGTAGTGGGCGAACGAAACGACGTACACGAATGCGGTTTTCGACAATAATGTAGGCAAGGGACGCTTTACGATGTCAACTTGAGTGCGATACAATACAATAAAACAAAATTTATCTAACAACAAAAGTAATGAAGTGAACTTTAAACTACATATGCAAGACTTAACATTAGATTTTTGATTATAAATGAAGAGAGCGAGCTGACACAGAAATATAAATGCAGACACCGATACTAAATTCAGTCTTCCATCACAATAAGTTATTGACCAAATTTAACTTTGAAAGGGGACTTAAACAAAATTTGGCTTTGAAGTTCGCCTTGGGGATGGTCGAATAAGAGGAGCTCTGCCCAACTGGGTCTGTTAGTGGACACAATTCGGACTCGTCCGTACCTCATGACCGTACCAGGACTGTTATCGGGCTTAGTCCGATGCGCATCGGACTAAAATCGGGCGAGGCAGGG